AGCTACTATCCAGTAAGTTTTCTATCCTACCTGGCTTCTGATGAGCCACACCTGCTCCTGGTATTTACCTGAGAACTAGTGTGGCTCATCAGAAGCCAGGTAGGATAGAAAACCTACTGGATAGTAGCTCTCCAGGACCGGAGTTGGTGACCCCTGGTTGAGGGAAAAATAACAAGAAAAAAAGTATGTGTATGTTCAGTACAGATGCAACCATTGTAACAGGCTACACATAGAAAATATAATTTTAAGCTGCTGTCACAACTCAAACTCGGAGCAAAAGGGTTAAAAACATTCACTTAGCCTTGATAAAACCAGGTCTGTGACAGAACTCCTCGACCCTAGCAGACTATCCATCATGCCAGGTTTTCTACTCTGGTCCCTGAGACTAACGTTCCAAATACTGCTGGAAACAGGGATTAGGCCGGACGGACGATTTCAAGGTGAGGTGAAGCAGAAGGCAAACTCAACAGCAGAGGACTGGAGAACCCGGACCAAGAACCAGGGAAACCAAAGGAGCAATAAAACGAAACCCAAAACACAGAACCCCCCCCCAAATACAGGACACCAGCTGGCGGGTGATGGCCACCTGGGAGCCCTCAACATAGAAACTGGCCATCCAGAAGCCCAAGGCCAAATTCCAGTCAGCACGGACTATGAACTCCAAGCCACCCACACCCTCAAGCCAGTACCTGCTGTCTACTGCACAGGCACCAAGGAGACAGATCTACACAAGTAGAAAACCCTGAAGGCAGAACAGCTGGCCACTCGAGATTGTGAATCCCCAGCACAGAATCTGAGCCCTATGCTTCAAAAGCAGTTACGATGACTTAAGGTTAGCCCTAGTTTAGCCCAGCTCAAAGCAGACTCAATACTCTCGTTAGGGAACCCCGCGGGGCAGCTGTGACAGCTGCACGATGCTGGAAAATTTCAGATGTCGTGATGTGATTTTTTGCGATAAATATTGCTATATTTATAAGGCAAAAAGGAGCTCAAAATAAATCAATTTCTCACAAACCGACCTGTGATCGAAACCGTACGATTTAAACAGCGAGGGTGAAAATGATTATGATGGTCTTGGACAGCCTATGCAGAGCTCGTGCAAAAGCAGCGGTGATCAACTTCACACTGATTTTTTCACACATATACTGGATAATCTTCAAAAGAAACAATCTTAAAAACTGCATAGCTGGCTAAGTTCTGTTTCTAATGACAGAGTAAAAATGCTTTAGTGAAACTTAACCCACCCCCACGCTCGATGAATCTTATCACCCATGATTTCAAAATACCGGAACTGCATGGCATGATAATGTTGTTTTTGAAAATGCTGTATACTGGTATAATGTCTGGACAGCATGATGGTATGAAAAAGCCGGATTTCAACACAGCTCAATATCTTGGTCCTTGGGATGCGAGAATTGCATGGGCATAACATGCAATGATGATATGCAATGTTGATATTAATATCACACATTGGCCAGCCCCAGTTGTGATTGATGGCAATTGTGTACACAGAGCCTGAATGTAAGTGACTAACAACAAACTTTGTGTATCTAAAACTTATATGTTGAAGTAAATTATGTCAGACAGATTCCTCTTGTAGATTAGTCATGAAAAAAGAGAATTCATCCAGTTTTCCTTTTGTATCAATCTGCAAAAAGAGTTGTAGCATATGTTCAATTTAATTTGCCTTACCTGACGTTGCACATCTTGCGATGTGATTATGGCGCATTCGCACATTGCGATGATGATGCTGAAACCACATATCGTGCAGCCTCTCTCTCTCTCTCTCTCTCACACACACACACACACACACAAACTGTGTCAAAACTCACCACCAACTCCAAAAACTGCACATAACTTCATCTGTGTGGATTCAGTGTAGTGCTCAGTCCATGGATACGGAGGGTGACTGTACTTGTATATAACAAACTTACCTGACACTTGGTCCCCTTCATGAGATAAACACCCCAAAAAAAGCATTTCTGAGCTCTGGTAGGTATGTATGATTCACATGGCAAATTTAATTAAAATCAAAAATAGTGACGCAAAGGCCATTTGTTGAATTAAATGGAATGACTCTACCATGCTAAACAGAATGGTGTGTGTTTGTGTGTGTCAGATATACAAAGATTCACACTCACAGTAAATAGATCACTTCATGTAAAAAATGTGTGCAGTTTTGCTGCCAAATTTTACATAATGCAATTATGTTATTTTAAACCCTCAACAATTCCTAGAGGGAAAATAGTTTGTGAATGTTGTCTTATTTAAAAAGCTGAAAAAACTTTGGGGATTTTTGACAAGTTTATTCTCCTGGATCATGTTCTCATTATCAACTCAGGCAGTAAATGCACAAAGAAAATATACACACATGAACTTGATTGGCCTGTTACTCACAGGGCGATGAAAGGTCAGATTGTGGATCACATCACACGTTTCTGTCTGTAAATACCTGGGGGGATGTTGGAGAACCATCACAGTGACTCAAAGAAACTGTCATTATATTCTTACAATCGTTGTCCATGTGTTAATAATAATCTTCATTCACTTTGAGAGGTTTTACATGCCAGGGTAATAAATAGATTGATAATTACTGAAATGACTCAGCAAAAGATCTCAGAACTTTTACCAAAGAAAAGACTTCAGGCCTCATCAACATTTTATTAATATTCCCAAGATGACTGAAATACATCAATGTGCCTCTTGTCTTATGTCACAGTGATTATCATGAATGACTGTGTAACGGCTGAAAACTGCAGACTCTTTCATATCATGTTTGACAGCTTGATGATCGACAGTGTTGATGAAGGTATTTGATATTTTGAATGGGTCTTATGGAATGACAAAAAAGTCTGGACCCTCACATTTTGTAGCTCTGCTTGACCAATCTTGACCCGCTACAACCCTCACAGAACCCGTGAAGTTACTGCTCACAAATACTTGCACCTTCCTTCCTCTTTTTCTGAATGCTGAGATTTTGCAACAAATTTAGAATTGCAAAATAGATGTATTTTCTCATTTATTTTACGGGTGAAACGTGACTTATTTGTGCAGATTTTGCTCATGCGTTCACCCAGCAGTACCACTGCACTCCAAAGGAATGGCCTTATCATATAGCCAAGGTCCCATTAAAAGCTCACAGTGGGGGCGTGTTGTTGAGAAATTTTAAAAGTGAATATGATGTTATCTGTCTTTAGATGTTCCATAGAAATAAAAGGGGCACCATGGTACTTAAACAGCCCATGAATCCGGTGTCATATTTCATAAGAAGATAAAATAGATTTGAGAAGTGGGTCATATTTTTTTAATCATCTGTGTACATATGCAAAGTGTAGAACATTTAAAAGCCCCAGGGCAGTAATTTGATTTTTCTCCTGAGTGCTGCTGATACAATTATAATGCTTGTGACAATACAAAAAGAACAACAACAATAATGGTAGCATTGAAACATAATCCTAGTATGACAATGAGTGTTTGCTTCTAAGAAACTCATGACCGCAAAATATAATGACCGTGTCACGTATGAAGATACGTGTTATGAAATGCGAGCGAGGAAAAAATAAATTGTTTAACTAGCCGTTTGCTACACGCATTTCAAAAAGAGCTTCAAAATAGAACAGCATTTCTACACGTATAACACCGATTTATCACAATTGAGTATATGTTACGCGTTTTTTTTTCCACCAACTGCAACCACGAGAAGCCATTTTGTTGGTCCACACTAAGCCATTCATGCGCGTAACTTAAGGGATCATATGAAACAAAAAGAAGGGGGAGAGAAGAGAAGAGCGAAGGAATTCAGCTGGGCAGTGGAAAAACACCGCCTCTTCAACGCCCGCTGTGAACTCTATAATGCAGGCCAGCAACTTACATTAGGGATGTACTGCCTCCTGCTGTTTCACACTTAGTATTACAGTAAACTAAAGAGGATTCACAGGAAATCAGTTTTCAGTTTATGCCGATATGCACTTATATGCACTCCTCTGTCAGACAGTAGAAATAAAGATAATGGTGCTTCGAAACAAAATATGACTGATGTCCAAGCCATTTAATTCGTATGTAAATTAGACATATTTTAAATGTAATGTAATGTGCACAAAATTTCTAAAACTAAAAATGCTTCTAAGACTTCACTGCATTTATTTGATGCCTGACCCGAAGCATTATTAGCAACCCTGGGAATTTTATTTTGTATATTCATAAAATAAAATAGTGGTTAAATAAGCTTTCATACACCGCCATACTCATGATGGTCAACGGTCTACACCTGGGATCCCCAAATATTTTCCCCGAGGTCAAAAACTCTTCAGCAACACAAAACCATGAGGTCCACTGATTCCGAAAAAATCCCAGCCGTGGTCTGGATTCAGTTGTTATTAAACCGTTTCAGTAGCCTACAGATGGGGTCCGGAGTTCGTCAGTTGGTCACCACTGCTGTACACCGATGGCTGGTGTGAGTGAAAGAAATTGTTTTCATAATCGTATAGAATTTAAGTTGTGTTTTGCCATTTATATATTATTTTTCATTAAAAATTATCTGCGACGTGTTTCGTTAATCAGAAAATACGTAAAACCAGCACCAAAAAAGGTACTCACTCCGTTTTAATCGGATATATTTTCATGAACGAAACGAGATTTTATACTGGTGGCGGACACAAGATAAATGGAAGAGAATTGTTATTGTGACAATTCTCATTGGATGTGTATTCTAGATTATGAGGGTACATTTATTTATAATAAATAAATATTGTTTGCTTGTTAAAGTCATGTTTTTTCATTGCCATGGGAAACCTCGGCTTTCTAACAATTTATTATGAGAAACACATTATAAGTAGGCCTATATTACGAAATTGCGTTCACTTTTACTGCAACTTGCAAATGCTTGATAGTTCGAGTTATAATCCCAAAAAACTTGTTAACTTGTTTCGATCAGCGAACGGTCTGCGATGGTGCTCTTCTCTTCTCCCCTCCTCATCGCTCCGCTCCTCATCGCTCCCCTTCTCGTGTGGCCGGAAGCGGGATGTGATGTAAAAATCACATTGAAACGTTTTTCTTCTGTGTGCAGACTTTCCGATGCATTGTAAGGTACCGAGAAATATTAACTTTTTGATAATGATTCGACTATTTTAATTTATCTTGCCATTTGGATACGATCACGACGGACGTATACGACTGTTGGAGGTCCTGTGAGATCACGCAACAGGTAATTGATATTGTCGATGCAAAAAAAAGTTTGGAAAAGTTCGCTGAAACAGACAAAAAGTTATTCCATCGTTTCTTGTTGGCCGCTTGATCACAGTAAGGACATACATACAGATAAAACTGAATAATTACACAATCTGTACACAGCACTATAAATACATATTTACGAATACGTTTTAGGCTACTTGTATTCACAAAGTAGGAAGAAAAGAGCAGTAAACAAGTAAACGTTTATCAAACCGTGAAAATTATTGTAAGACTTCTTTGTTTAACGTACATTGGGTAAAAGGCATTATTATTATTGAATCTGGATGAATACTTTTCTACATAAGTTAACTGTAGCAACCTAGAATCAGAGTAAAACGATGGGGTGAGTGCTGCAAACTGTCCTTAGGGTATTGGGGTGGGCTCTAACTGGATTAATCTTTGTTGCACTGAGCAGAAAATTAAGAACCAGTCTTTTGATTCACAAGACCTACTGATTAACTGCATATAGATAGCCTATCCATTTTTGTTGGTGGGGGCAACTATCGAAAATGCGTTTTGTGTAATAGCGGTTTTCCGCATTTATCCACCGCTACATGTGACGGTCTCCGTTTTTTCTCGTTATCTGATAGCGATAGCCCAAGTTTTTTTTTTTTTATGTGCGCCCCCCATCTCGCGGCAGCGCGCAGCGCGCATCCGAGGCGAAACGCTTTTCTTTAAGTAAATTCCCCGTTTTGATGGTGCGGCGATGTTTCTCCATTGTGTAGCGCCGCGGTTGTGTGAAGAAAGTAAAGGGAAAAAACGGTCCTCCTCAGGCACAAATCAGGCACTGTACTTTCATTTCGTTATTAATGACTTACTTTTAAATTATTTACTTTAGATATAAGCAAAGTTATATGTGCAATTGAAGATCCTTCGTGAACAATCCACAGCCTGTCAGTACAATAGCAGGATCAAAATTAGCAATAAAAATACTGACGCAGCACCCCTCCCCCAAACTTGAACTTTTAAAAGGAAAAGAAGTCAGCCTTGAATTGATAGTCGGTTTGCACGTTACGGCAGCCCCATTACACAAATGAAATACTGCCCCAACACCAGTTGTGCTTGAGACGCCCGATCCCGGCGTTTTGGTTTTTATTGGTTTCTTAACTGACAGCTCTTGCCCGTACAAGCCATGTTCGTGCCCGATGGGGTCAGATGAAACCAAACGCCGCCAGCCCACAACTGAAGAGGCCCGTACTGCACACTTTCTAAATATAGATTCATCTCATTACCGTAGACTGCGATTTTAAGAAAACAAACCTGTAGGCCTATTACACACATTATTTTTTTCTTCTTTAATTTCCGATACGTCTGAGTGAAACGTTAATATTTTTGCATCCCGGGATGAAGTACATGATACTGCGATTTAAAAATAGAAGGCATGCGTTCTTGAAATACACATCAACTAGTGAGCTTATATAAAAAGAAAACTGAATTCTGAATCTTATGACTTTCATGCCTTGCAAAATGATACGCAGATTTATTTTAGACAACAAATATTAGCAGTACTCAGTTATATTTATTTGTTTTTGGTATCAGGTGTAGCCCTTTACCTCATAATCTGTAAAACCATTTGTGACGTTGATGGATGTTGCCCAGCAGAATCCCTTGCCACTGACAGGAAGTGAATGCATGGATGAACAGTGCGCCAACATTCAGTGGAAGGGGTTGAAATGTCTTATACGGCTTTTTCATTTATATACTCAAAGAGCAGAGACATTTGGGTGACAGTGTTGTTGCCTCGTAACTTCAGCCATGCATGGCTGTACATGGTGTTTGCATATTTTGCTCTGTTAGAATTTGACAACATGGCAGTCAGCTGATTGTAAGGTGCTTGTAGTGTGTGTGTGTGTATGTGTGTGTGTGTGTGAGCGGGTTTACCTATCCTTATGGGGACACAATGTCCCCATAACGTGATGAATATCCGTTTTTTTTCCCTTATGTTGACCGGTTTCCTGGTCCCCATAAGGAAAAACTCTATTTTATAAAAATCGGTGACTGCTATGAAAAAACTAAAAATGCAAAAACTCTTGTATTTTGTTAGGCTACTTATGGTTATGGTTAGGGCAGGGAAGGGGTTAAGGTTGTCATAGTTAGCGTTAGCATTTTTCCCATTGAAATGAGCAGTCCCCATAAGGATATGTTTACCCTACGTGTGTGTGTGTGTGTGTGTGTGTCTGTGATTTCAGAATAGGCCCTGGATATCTGCAAACTTAATCGGTTGAGTTGAAACTCAGTGGTGGGGGGGAAGAGTGAACAGTGGTCTTTATTCAAGGCTGTGATTCATTATTTCTGTATTTCTTTCCGGAAAGATATGATAAGGTGATACTTTATTGATCCCAGCCGAGAAATTCTTTTGCGTACAGAGTGAGATACATAAAGTGCACTATCATAAAAACAAAGGCAGTGTAAATGGTATTGTTCAGGAAATACAAATTAGAAAATAACTAAATGAAGTCGTTATGCCAAGCACTTATTAGGATGCATGATTATGAAGAATCTGGCTCTGCATCGTCCATGTGACCTGACTGGCTTGTTTGATACGGTTACTGTCACAAGGTGACGGCCGTCATGAATGTGTCTTCAGTTTGAGATCGGTTTTACCATTTGAACAAAGATATCTTTAAGTGTAGCTGCTGAAATTTTTATATTTTTTTGTACCTGTGATTTCATGAATGTGTTGCGTGGACGGACCTGCGGGCCTGTGTGGAGACGGCTGTGCGCAGCGACGACGCGGTCAGCCTGCTTCACATCTGCTCAGACGGCCTGCGGAGGGTCCTCCTGTCCAGGCACCTGTTATGTCTGCAAGCTGACTGGGTTTCTTGACTCGCACAGAGTCTGATATACAAAATAGGAAAACTAGCCAAATGCTTATAATTCTTTTTTTTCTTCTGCCCTGGGAGTATCGTTCCCTTAGTGCTGTAAGCAGGTTAATATCGCACAGAGTTGAAGTGTCGTGGTGTGAGTTCCCTGTGTTGATAGCCCAGATCATGGGTGAATGTGACATCACCGTGGAAACTACAGAAAGGGATTTCCTAATCTCTGTCACTCGCTAAGTTACTTGTGTGTCCCTCAGAAGTGAGATCCATTTGAAAGCTTGGCCTACAGATGCAGGCATGCTGCAGAAACATAACCATGCACCTGTCACTGCTGTGTAAACTACTTACAAAAATATACCTTCAGGCTGTAAATTTAGTAGAACATCTTGAGGTGTTCTCCCTTTAATTCCTGCCTTGACTTGTGCTTAATGATAGGCTCTTGGCCCCGTACCACAATGGAAAAATACCCTCATGCGGTGGGGGGGGGGGGGGGTTCTGCCAAGACTTGTTTTTTTCTTTCAGTCCATATTGTGAAAATGAGGGGAATGTTTACAGATATTCCTCTTAGGGCTGGACAATAATTCGATATCAATATATATCGTGATATAATTTTTTTCAATAACGGTGATACGATTTTTAAACACATTTCCGATATTTCGATATACATATATACTGTATCATATAATATACAGTATATGAATAATCAGCCTGTTTTAGTTTAAATGGAAATATATTATTGTTAATAAGCTGAGTCTGAGAGTTTTATTTATTTGATAGTTTATTTCACATTTCTTGTTTGTAAAGGCTAAATACAAATAAAAAGTGAACCTTATTTTTTTTTGTACTGTTTTTATTTAAAAAAAAAATATATAATTTTAATAGGAGGAGCCTGGAGGTATTATAGACTTTGCAAATTCAGTTTGCAGACATCCATTGTGTGTGTCCTCGGCAGTTTTTTCCTGAGGCTTTTTAATATTGTCCATATCGATATCGGAATTATATCGTATCGACCAAAATTAAGAAATATATCGTGATATAAATTTTTGCCATATCGTCCAGTCCTAATTCCTCTTATTTTACCCGGATTCAATGGAGCATCACACATGGACTGAGGGCATGTCCTGCTGGGTGAATGTCCTGCTGGGTGAATGTCCTGCTGGGTGAATGTCCTGCTGGGTGAATGTGACGGTCTTACTGACGTATATCTTGCATATTGCAGGGTGTGAGGGGAGAATCGCATGATGAAACCTGTACTTTACTTAATGAATTAATCCATTCCATTTGCGCATCATCACGACTATAGATTAGCCGCAAGACCATATGTCTGAACAACTGTAACTCTGTTGTATAAAAAGCATGAAATTGTGGAGAGATTGAGTGTACTTGAATACAGCCAACCCATTACCAAAACACATGGGGACTCATTATTCAATATTCAATTCAATATTGAGGAGATAAATCTTTGGAATCTGGATATATAGATGTCGATGCTCATGGTTTTTGATTGCTTCCCTTGCTTGATGTCAGCAAGGCATTCAGAAAATTTCTTCCATGAGTGCAAAGAAAGAGAGAAGGTCCATGGTTTAGCTGGATTGGGATCCCACATGATCTGTCTGTGCCGGCATCTTAATGGAAATGACAGCCGGCAGGATCTCTCAGTGGGGCTTGCAAAGACAAAAACTGCAGGGATAGATGCTGTGGATTTATCCTTTATCTTTGCTCTGAGATGCTGATGAAGATCTTAGTAGTTATTATCCAATCTATCTTTCTCACCACTTTTCCAGTATAGGGCTGCATTGAGTCCTGGCTGGGTCCCATAGGCACAGTTCAGAGGTAACCTACATTACCTAACAAACCAATTACTCATGACTTTATTCTCAGTTTCTCTGTATTGCTATTAGTTAAGTCCTGGACTCAATTAATACACATTGCTCTTAATTTAAATCGCAGTCTACATTAAGACATAATGCTTTTAGTTAAGACCTTGGTCTCCATTGACATGCAATGCTATTTGGAGCTTTTCCACTGGCACCAAGAACTGAGCCGTTCCACAAACTGGCCATTTTCCATTGTAAAGTATGCAAGCCGGACCCACGCTGACATGGCCCTGCTTACTAGCAGAGCCCGAAAGTGTGATTAAACTGCTAGTTGTGTCACCACCACCTGATTGGTCGAAATGTAGGGAGACAGTGGTGATCTGTACATGGATTATCTGAAAGGGAAAAAGGGAATTTGTATTGATGCATTCCCAATAACTCAGAACTTGAAAATTTACAACCTCCTGATGAAAAAGTACTGTAGAACAGCTGAATGGAATGGATTCGTAATGTAAATTTATGCAAGTGAATGTCAATTCCGTTATCATTTGATTGTAACATAAGACGACGATTCTTACAGATTTCTAGCAGAAATTAGCACTTAGTAAACAACTAAACATGATGTGTATTGTATGAACAGTAGACAAGTGTCTTTTCGGTTTTACATCACTGTTGCTTTTACTGAGGCTTTACTGAGCTCAGTTTCTGTTTTCCAGTGGAAAAATGCCAAATGTTTAAGTCCTTGATCCGTTTTCAGAATGCTGCTAGTTAAGAACACACAGTACCATGGACTGAGCAAACCCGATTCTTCCTCGTTGCCCTGGAATACTTCTCTTGTAACGGTTTGCTACTGTTACATCATTGTCATCTGTCATTGGGGAGGGGAAGGACCAATTACATCATCGTTTCTCTGTTTAAGAAAGACAGTTCCGCCTGGTTTTGTAACCGATGTGCTGTTTGGTGGTTCACCTGAGGGATCGTGGCCATGTTCAGTCCTGCCTGAGAGCACATGTCATGCATCTGAAATCGCAGTTGACATTGGAGGATCCGGCTGTTTTGGGGTGGGACTGGGTTGACTGTCTGGTTGCGGTGATGCTGTCATCGTCTGAGGCTATATGTTTATGCTCAGAAGGGGATCCCCAGTGGGCGGCTCACCCATGTTGCTCCCCGCCAGTCACGCGGTGACCCCTCTGATACATGAGCAACAGCCCAGGAATCTGATCGCCGAATAGGCCTGTACCTGTGCCAAGAATCATTCGAGGCAGATGTTGCTCCGTCTTTAACCCTTGCCTCCTGCACACCCCCCCCCNCTAGTGCTGTGTCGATAAAATCGATTCTCTGATTCTCAATCGATTCTCATAACAATTCCTAAAGATCGATTTGTACGTCCAAAGATCGATTTTACCCTTTAACACTTTCTGCCCTTTTTACAGCTAAAATAGGAAAAAAAAGTCCAGACGGGCATTTCGAGGCTTAGGTGTTAAAGGGTTAATATCTTTAATCACACGCATCGTGAATTCAATGACGCGACAGTACTGTAGGTGATGTTAAAGTTCACCGGGGAAAACTTTATTAACAACATGGCGTCGGACACTAGCAATGGTTTGAAAACGCCCGTAACTTGAAAAGCTGCGGTCTGGCAGCATTTCGGATTCAGAACGGACAAACAGACAACAAAAGCAAAGCGATTTTCAAGGCATGCCAAATGGAGGTGAAGTGTTCTGGAAATACGTCCTGGATCTGTTCGGTAATTCTGCCGAACAGCATGTTAGTGAAAGCAATTGTATCAACATTCTGGGAGGGGGATTGGTCCTTACAGCCATCTTTAACTATCAATACTTCATTAATTTGTCGTTGAATGTCAATATAATACTAGTATGTTGCACAACTACACAGTCATGTAATTAAGGTAACGGTTAAAAAAAAAGTGTTTTAAAAACACTGACCCAAATCGACATCGGATCGGATCGGAACAGATTGGATCGAATCGTGATAATCGATTCTAAATCTTGAGAATCGGAATCAAATCGATTCTTGAAATTTTAATCAATACCCAGCACTACCCCCCACCCCAAATCGCTCTGTGGCCCCCACTGTAGTCCAAGACCTTAGAAGCATCACAGGCACATATGGCGCAGTGATGTGTTCAGTGCATCCCACGTGCCTCGGAATACAGGTCAAATGAGGCGACATTCCAAGCGGAGCTTCGAGGGGGGCGGGCAGGGTAACAGCCATGATGGCACTTCCGTCCATAGCTGGGGATTGTGCAATAGTGCTTTGGCGTGCCAGATAGGTGCTTGTACCTTCCTGGGCCGCACAGCCTTCCTGTCCTGCTCCTCATCCCCCGCAGGAGTGGGGGGCAAGTCCTGATAACTCCACCTGGGGGCGGCAGGGCGTTGGGGGTGTACTCCATAGTGCTAGGGGCATCTGATGGTGCTTAGAAAATATGCTGTTTTGAGAGTTAATGTTTATGAAGCATTCAGCCAGGGGGTGTTGATAAGTAGCACTCAAGCTGGACAAAAAGTGTCTTTGCGTAATGCTCTCTCTCTCTCTCTCTCTCTCTCTCTCTCTCTCTGTCTGACTTTCAGCTCTGACTTGTTAAGAGTGAAATAATTAAGCTGGTCTGGGATCAGTCGTGAAGGGCATGGAGTGTGGACATCTCCCACCCATCCCCCCATCCTTTAATGCCAGGTGTTTTCCTGTGGGCGCTCTTTTATGGCCAGCACCTGCCCACCAGTAGGCTCTGAGTGACCCCCCTCCCCCACTTATGGTGGTCCCTGATGGCTGATGCCCATCGCTCCGCGTGCCCCAGCTGCAGCCTCCAGCTGGGCACTTGGAGGGGTGGGGGTGGCAAAGGTCCAATCTCCAGAGAGGAAGCCAGGGGGAGAGCAAGTACAAGGGGAACTGGCGGGAGGGGAGAGAGAGGATTGGGAGGGGAGAGAGGGGATTGGGAGGGGGGGAGAGGGGATTGGGAGGGGTATAGCAAGAGCCTGGAAGATTATAGAGTGACAGGGGCAAAAGCAGACTTGGCTCAGACAAAAATTATCACTGACGATGGGGCCTGGATTTGGAAAGGTTCAGTTCTGCCCTGTGCTGGGTAGAGACAGCCATGCTGCTGTGAGTGGCCAGTGTTCCCTGTCTGCGTGAAGCACTAATCACAGTTAACCCGGATGAAAACCACGTCAGAAATGTGCCTCGGTTACAGTAGGAAAGTGAGACGCTTTTCACACTGAAAATTTGTTTTTATTCAACCTCAGTCTTGATGTTTTTTTTTTGTTTATTCAGATACTTTATCAATGTCAAGCAGCCAATGGAGACTCCCCTTAAAGGGCCAGTACAGGGACTATTTTTTAAATTTTAAATGATTGAGCTGAATGCTAATTGTATTCCCTGGCCTTCAGACATACATACGGATTTAACACCAGTCCACAACCACTGCAGATACATGGGTATGTGAGCCAGTAATTGAAAAACAAATTGATGGATCTTTTTCAGATTTTGCAGAGGCATTGGGTGGGTGAGATATGGAGGAACTGGGTCACTCTGACTTAAATATCAGTGAAATCATTCAAAAATTCAAAATGATCAACATTAATGGCATGTTACACAGTATGAATGGTGCATATTTGTGCAAAAAGAAACTAATTTACTGGTCACTTTAGCTCTTCCGTTATATATACTGTAAATATGAACATTAATTTTTTTGTTCCCTTTTTGACATCCGTCCCATATATATTGTACGATCGACCCTTATTGAAAAATGAAGCGCTAAAGCACAGTTTAGTATCATTACAATAGTTCAGCTGTAGCTCTACAGACAGAGCTTTACAAGCAAGAGCTTGGGGGCTCAAAGTCCCCATAAATCGTACCCGTTCCCTCTATGGCAGGTCTGTTTGGATAAAAATGTCAGTTAACTATAAATGAGCTACATGTACATTGTGTGCACAAAAAAAAAACGTCCATGGCCACAGGTTCCTCCAAGGATGTCAGCATTAATTAACTGAGCAACTTTCCCACCGTTTCTTTATGTGACTAGTCATGACAGGTCAATGTATTCAATATATGGTGCCTGTCTATTTTGCAAATTTTAATTATTTTCATTTAATAGCGTTATGTACTGTAATGCATACAGGCAGATAATGTGTTAGCAATATTTTGATCATTTCTGAAGGTCAAACCACAACACAGTTCAGATTGTTTCCCTCACCTGCAGTTTGCTATAGTTCTTGCTTTTATGTCAAAGAATATTTTGGTCATAGTGCAAAAGAGAAGTAAATAGAATAAAATTCATCAAACATGTAGAAAAAAATTAAATAATATGTCGTATTTTCAAACACGGACATTAAAACATACACCTACTGTAACCTAATCGGTAGGGAAAGATTCTGCAAATTGTCATATAAGTGGATGGTGTAATAAATGAATAAGTATATTTTCAGGCCTACATATCTGAACAAGGACTCACAGCATTCAGGTAAAAACACATTCATTAACCTTTGTATTTTCAGGTGATCCATCCTGTACTCTTAGAAATTATTCAAGTTGTTGAGTGTGGGAAGAGCACGGCTTAGATGGCCAGACCAAATGACAGGGCTGGTCCCTGGAATACAATGTTGCTGTTTTGTGGCAACATCACATCTAGTTACTAATTAAAAAAATCTTCCATTCTCTCTGTGGTGCGTGCAGAGATGTAGTCTCTGTCCACAGCTGTCCACAGACGCCCCCTGGCCACCATGCTGCTGTTCCTGTTGCTGGTCTTCCGCGGTGACGCACATGCTCAGATAGACCCAGGTAGAGACTCCGTCATACCCAGGATGGCTGTGCTTCCACAACCCCCATGTCCTCTGATGTCCTTCTGACCCCTACTCTGCAGCGCACTGCCGCTACCCGCTCGGCATGGAGGATGGACGGATCAAGGATGATGACATCACTGCCTCCAGCCAATGGTATGATACCACTGGCCCCCAGTACGCCAGGTAGGTGCCAAAGCGCACACTTTTAGTACACGCTTGACCCCATGCAATTTAATACTCGATATAAAAAACTAATTGTCACAGCGATGTCGGGAATTCTTCTCTGTTTTACAGTGAAGAGCTCATGTTTCTGTTTTATTGACCATGTAGTTTTAATGAGGATAAATTCAGGATTTTCAACAAAAAAGGAACTATAAAAGGTGTATAGATGGTGAGAAATCCAGTGCCCCCCTCCCCCAACTTCCTGCTAGGATGAACCGTGAGGAAGGGGATGGTGCTTGGTGTCCGGCCGGGCCCCTAGCGCCCTCCGATGTCCAGTTCCTGCAGCTGGATCTACAGCAGCTCACCTTCCTCACCATCGTGGGCACCCAGGGCCGGCACGCTCGGGGCACAGGCAACGAATTCGCCAGGATGTACCGCCTTGACTACAGCCGAGACGGCCTGGTCTGGATGTCCTGGAAGAATCGCCTTGGCAACAAGGTGAGACCCTTCATCCCCGTCTCAAGCTATGTCCACACTGCTACGTTTTCATTTGAAAACAAAGTTTGAAATGAAAACGATCTCTATCCACAGAGGCATTTTCACATAATTTATGAAAGTATTTCTATCCCCACTGAAACCAGCAAAAACATTTATGACGTATCTATTTGCCTGCTCTGGGCATGCACGCATCACTACAGTGACCAGTAAATTAGTTTCTTTTTGCACAAATATGCACCAGTCATACTGTGTAACATGCTATTTTTGTTGATCATTTTGAATTTTTGAATTATTTCACTGATATTTAAGTCAGAGTGACCCAGCTCCTCCATATCTGCCATGCTGGAATACTGTAGGGTGACCAGCTGACCAATCAGACAATGAGAGGGTGTAGCTAGCAGTCTGCATTTTTAAAAGTCTCAGTTTTCACTCATCCATTTTGCAATGCTAAAACAAAATTTTCGGACCTAAAACTGCTGTGCTAGCATTTACAAAAGTCTTTGTTTCTCCATGCTACTCTGGGGATAGCATGGAGAGCATGGGGAAAGGCGAAAGCGGAGACCAGTGTCTGTATTTTTAAACAAAAACATAGCAGCAGAGGGGTGAACTGTCAGCATCTACAAGGGTTTCTGTATTTTAATTGTATCATAGCATTCAATTCAGTAATGGTTAATTTTCCAGGTGATTTATAAATCCACATGATGTTTATTTCTATCAAAATGCTGAATTTAGTAAATATATTTCACTCACTGCTTGGTTATAACCTGCACACTCGATGGTCCTTGTAAGGGCCTGGTTAGACAATGCTGGTTCGGGCAGTTTTATAACTCATGAAATTGACTTTGCGTGATAAAATGTCAAAAAACTTGCCAGGCACCTGGATTTAGTTATGCCAGAATTAACTTTTTTTTTTTTATTTATTGTATAAAGCTACAGTAGACATAGCTGGTGTAGACATTACAAGCTGGGCTCACTATATGGGAAATTACGAAGCCAGTGGGCTGTGGGCATCCTGTAAGCAGAGTTAGTAACATGGACGTTAAGGTGTGATTTGAACTCAGCTGCTTAATTTCTCACTTGGATTGAGGTTGTTGTATGAATTAGTCTCTATTTCATAACTTTGCAAAAAAAAATTAAGAAAAGTTCTGTTAAAAGGGCAAGAAGGGAAAAAAAGTGATGTTATTGTTAGGGCTGGAGTCTGAGGGTCATGTGATGGACTAAAGAGAGGTCAACCTTGAGTCAAACGTTTGCTTCTAATTACATTCATTTATTATTTATTAAATGTCAAAAATAAAATACTATCGATTATTTACTTTGTCGGTTCTTTACTTTGACATAAACAGTAACAGGGACTGCATTGCAGGGGAGGAGAGGAATTAAACAGGGACTGAAGAGGAGGGAGTCCAGCAGAGAGGAGTCTTCCTGATACACATACAGTGCTCACAGAGAGGCCTGGAATGATTACTTAATTTGACAATGTTACTTAATTTGATAATGTTGCAAATTTATTGGTTTCATAACAAAAGTCCACTGACAAGCAATGTATAAAATATCTGTAAATTTTCTTAAAGTGTCATAATTTTCTTGACTGACTCATTCAGTTCTGTTCTTGCCATTTTGCTTTTAACTGCAATTGTAGTCATTGGCTCCCAAAGAGATACTAAACACAAATGTCTGCTGTTTTATGTTACTGCAGAGGTGTTACTAATTAAAAAGCTCCCAGTGAGACTGCTTGTCAATTAGCATTTTAACTAAGAACAGCTCTGTTAGGAGTATCATTTTGGTTCAGTTTATTACTACTTGAAATGAATCTTTTACTTTTACTTAAAACTATTGGTTGTTTCTAAAGTGATATATATATATTTGCAAACGAATAAAGTAATGATATTTATTATGAAACCAATAAATTTGCCATATTTTTCCTGAAATGAGTCTTATAAGACTCCCTGAGGGCACTGCATATTTATGAGAGCAAGAGAGCTGTAGCTATAAAGATCAAGTGGTTTTCCTACACAAACAGAATGAATCTTGATAAGGAATTTTAAGAGTGAGTTATGCTATTCCAACAAATTCTGAGAGATGCTAGGAGATACGCTATCTGTGAGTGTGGAGAAACAGCCCCGGATTCTGCATGACGAGGCGAAGGTACATGGGCTTCCTGTCTCCCACAGATAATGGACGCCAACGATAACGCGTACGCCTCCGTCATCAAAGACCTACACCCTCCCATCATCACCCGCTACCTCCGCCTCATCCCCGTCACCCGGGTGTCCGCCACCGTCTGCATGCGGGTCGAGCTGTATGGCTGTCCCTGGCACGGTAAGAAGAGCCCAAGCACACTTTCCCGGGAACCTTACACCTTATATTTATTACACCAAGGCAACCTAGATGGTCTCATAACATTATTATTAACATTGATATTAAATGGGGCAATTTTTAGACATGGGGAATTTAACACATTGAGCTGCGTGTCAAACTAGGAGCCCCAACGGTCTGATATGGACAGTTATTTAGGACACTTGTGACTAATTTCAGTTGCCTAAGCAAACTGCATAACCTTCACTAAAACCCCCTCTTGGCTTTGCACAAAGTGTAGGTCTATTCAGACAGGAAAATGAAGTAAATAAGTCACACAACCAGCAAACACAACTAGTCCTTCTGAGCTCAAAACATAAATTCATAACATAAACATACACAAAATCCACCCTGCCGGTGACTGATGTCAGGTAATATGTATCTTGTGTTATGTTGACCATTTTGCATTTTTGAATAGTTTGCAGTTTCAGTTTCACTGACATTTAAGTCAGAATGCCCTCTAGTGGTAAGAAGCACATTGTGAAACTGTAATTTTGGACAGAATCGTCTGCTAAAGAAATAAATGTGTATATGTGAGGCTGCTTTGAAGACCTTATTGAATATCAATATTAATATTACTGGTAGCAATAGACTGGATTTTTTTTTTTCATCCATTGCTATTTTGGTAGGAGCAGAGTTCTCCTGGATCTTACAGAAATAAAACATTGACAGTGATATTTGTCCTGCTATGTTGTAATATTGAATTATGAGTGCATGTATGGTTGCTATATTTCTTAGCTATTGATGTATAGATACATTTGTAAAAGCGACATCTGATTCTTCTTTCCCTGCTTCACTGTCCCCTGGTGCTGAAGATGGATTAATGTCCTACAGCTCTCCTGAGGGACAGGTGATGGCGTCACCTGGCTACCCTGTCACCTATCTTAATGACTCCACATATGATGGCTACCAAAAGCGGCGGTAGGCTCTCCCACAGGATATATTTTTACAACAGCTTAAACAAAATGACCAACTTCATTGCTGAAATTTCCTGGTTGAGTGATGTTTTATTGTACGTGCAGTGACCTAATTCTCTTACAGCAATCACTTTGTGAGCTACATCACATTCCAAGCTAGGCAGAGTGGGCCAATCACATTCCAAGCTAGGCAGAGTGGGCCAATCACATTGTGAGCTAGGCAGAGTGGGCCAATCACATTGTGAGCTAGGCAAAGTGGGCCAATCACACTGTGAGCTACGTAGAGTGGGCTAATCACATTGTGAGCTAAGGCAGAATGGGCCAGTCACATTGTGGGCTAATTACCCTCCATACTTTCGTGGGATGTTTCATTCATATGATTACATGGGTTAACTACATGTGCTAATATTGTTAAATGGTTACAATACGCACTTAATCAGCCTCTCAGACACACATGCTCTCTGATAAGAGACTCCTCAGTTTTAAACAGATGCTAAAGTGCAACTGTAAATCTGCAGGATACTGTCTGAGGGCTTAGGTCAGCTGACGGACGGCGTCATCGGGCAGGATGACTTCTCCCTAACCCGGCAGTATCACGTGTGGCCGGGGTATGACTACGTGGGCTGGAGGAACGAGAGCCTTGGGCCCGGGTTTGTGGAGATGGAGTTCGTTTTTGACAGGCCCCGTAATTTCACCTCCATGAAGGTACCCACCCGTGTGTGAGGGGGAAAGGGGTGTGTGTGTTTCGGGAGGTGAAGGGGGTGTGACCGTCTCGGGGTGACTGGCAGGTTTTGTGGATGCACTGTAGTTACCATCATATGCGTCTGAAAATAGTGTTTTTTTTAGTTAATTTCAAAGCAGTGCTTATAACCAGTTTTCACTGATTCTAAACCACTTATCAATGACAAAAATGCAAAGGTGACAGGACTGTTGGTAGATAACTGATGCTATAAGATGTAATGTAGCTTAACTCAGACTTGTAAAATGTCACCAGCATCCTGGGCATCGCACATTCAGCTCTTTTATTCCATGCGGAGTTAACCCAAAGCCTGGCCCCCCCTTGCCCCTGCCAGGTGCACTGCAACAACATGTTCTCCCGGGGGGTGAAGATCTTCTCGGCAGTGTCCTGCGTCTTTAAGCCGCGGCTGGTGGTCGACTGGGAGCTGCAGGAGGTGGAGTTCCGCACTGTGTTGGACGACCGCAACCCCAGCGCTCGCTACGTGACCGTGCCGCTTGGCCGGCGGGCCGGAAAGGCCCTCCGCTGCCGCTTCTCCTTCGCCGACACCTGGATGATGTTCAGTGAGATCTCCTTCCAAGCAGGTGAGCAGCTGGACATTTGCTCCTTCCCTTGGGGTTGTGGCTGGAGGGCGGGTCTTTAATCTGGATGGTTCTGATTCAGATTCTGTATTTAAAAGGGGGTGGGGTTTGCGTGTGGAACGTCTGATTCCTGAGCTCTGTGATTAATCTGTGGTCCTGCTGCTGCCTTAGCAGACACAGTGATCCCCACACGACTGCCACTGGAGACGAGCAGCTCCATCACCACGGTGGAGAGCTCCACCCCCACTCACAGGACAGGTGAATGTATCACTCTTCTTAGAAAGACAAGTGACGAGGAAGCTTCCTATTAAACTCCACAACCTACCCTGACTGCCCCATTCATTAATTTTAAAATGTGTGTGCAGTGACCACTCCCCCCAGCAAGGACTCCCCCGAATATGGGAACACCTCCATCCTGATTGGCTGCCTGGTGACTATCATCCTCCTGCTGCTGGTGATCATCTTCCTCATCTTGTGGTGCCAGTATGTCTGCAAGGTTCTAGAGAAGGTAAGGAGGTGTGGCAGGGAGGAGCAGAGCGGAGGGGAACCCAGGAAACACAAGGCTGATGCCACGCCGGACATCCCCGAGCTCACGGCTGTCTGCCCTACACCAGGCTCCCCGGCGCATCCTGGAAGAGGAAGTCACGGTGCGGCTCTCCTCGAGCAGTGACACCATCGTCCTGAACACGCCCCCGGTGCCGCCCCGGGTCTCTCAGATGGACCCTCCCTATGAGAGGGTCTTCCTACTGGACCCCCAGTACCAGGACCCCTCAGTACTGAGAAGCAAGCTGCCTGAGTTGCCTCAGAGTGCTGAGGCCTCCGGTATGTGTGCTGCTCATGGATCCTATCTGTAGACCACTTCTGTGGAGCTGAGATCCCCTTCCTGTTAACGCAGAGCCCACTTCCTCGACGTAGATCACGAGACTGTGACCTGGTCTGAGAGCCTAGTTCCTTAGTCACATGTCCACATACCTCAACCTCGCGGCGCACTTTACTTCCTGTTTCTCCTGCTATGCACTTCCTGTTTCTTCTCCCTTTCTGCCCTTCAGCCTGTGCTCTCAGTAACCCTCTCTATGAAATATTCCTGCCCTCTCATGGTGCGATGGACGCCCTCTCGCACGGTAAGAGTGGAAAGAAGGAGGTGGTAAGAAAGGTGAAGAAACGTGACCTGAAGGTGACCGCTTTAAAACGCCACATCCATGCAAGACAGCTCCTCTCTCGTTCTCCTCAGTTTGGTAATTAGCTGGAGAAGCGAGGCTTTGACATCCACAATGTACAGGATAGCTACGCCTTCAGCCCATGGCTGCTTTGATTGACACCCAGTAGAGTAAAATAAATGGGTGAACCTGTCATTGACTGGCAGTACTGTAGATAATAATTGCTTATGCTCTGGCTTTTGAACCCTTGTGTCTCCCAACACCACCTATCAATAGAACATCACGGACATTGAGATTTGGAGACATGCAGATTTTACAGAGTACATGCATATGGCCGGCCAAGGCCCCAAAAGCCCCCCCACCCCCGTCATGTGTGTCTGCCCCTCTCTATGTGACTGACTGTGCTCTCTGCCCTTGCTGTCAGGGTGTGGTGGCGGCTATGCGGAGCCTGACGTCACCCAGTGCACCCCGCACCAGAGCTTCCAGAGCGCGGTGCCACACTACGCCGAGATGGACATCGTGAGCCTGCAGGGCGTGACAGGCAGCAACATGTACGCCGCGCCGGCACTCACCATCGACTCGCTCACCCGCAAGGACATCTCGGTGGCCGAGTTCCCGCGCCAGCGGCTGCTCTTCCGAGAGAAGCTGGGGGAGGGCCAGTTTGGGGAGGTGAGGCCCCCCTGTTTGCGATCAGAGTCCTCTTTACCTGCAGTGAAGAGCAGCCCAAAGCCTTAAAGAACAAAGTGTCTGCTGACAGGCTGAAGCTGCGCAGATCCTCACAGGAAAAGTGTATCTGTCCATCTGTCCATTTCATGATACACTCTTTCCGTTCGGTTTTTCTAGTATTTTTAATTCCACATTACACATAGTGGGTGGGGGATTCAAACCTACAACCCTGCAGGTATGAGATGATATGAGATGTCAGTGACTATTGTTATTATTGCTATTACATTATTGTTACTATTAAGGGCGGAGCACTGGCTCGGGGGGGGGGGGGGGGGGGGGGGGGGTACCCTGTCACCCTGTCACCCTCTGCTTCCACTTTGTGACTCTACTGGATAAGTGCTTGATGAATGGACGGATGGATGTATTCTTCTATTAGAGGGCAGTCATACCTTCTTCCACAGATCCTCATGTCTCATCCTATGCTCCATGCTATTTCCTTCAGCTCCTAATTCCCAAGTCTCTCCTCTCTCTGCAGGTTCACCTGTGTGAGGCAGAGGGGCTCTCCGAGTTCCTGGGGGAGGGAGCCCCCCTTCTGGACCAGGATGCGAGATCGGTGCTTGTGGCTGTCAAGCAGCTCCGACCGGACGCCACCAGCAACGCAAGGTGCTCATCGTCATTCCTCTTATTCCTCTGGCTGTAATTTAAATGACTTCACAGATACCTAGGGGTGTTTGCACATGTGGAGGGACTTGAGCATCACAGAATCCTTCAGCCCTTGTACAGTGTGTGCATGCGCAGCCCAGTGGCAGGGCGCTGTAACTACAGCAGGCACCTGCCTGATTGGAGACTCTGTGTCAGCCAGCAGGCTGCCTTCTGACTGGACAAGAATGTCTGCTGACATCTCAACCAAAAATGAAGGATTACTTCACTTCTTTTACCATGACAATAAAACCATAATTATTTTTTTTATTAACTGATTAGATACAATTTTCTAAACCCCCTCAAACATTATCTTGTTTATTTCAAAATAAAAATATTAATTCCCAAGTATAAAAATTAAAATAAAATGTGTATTTTACTAATTTAACAACTTCATTGTGGCAAGGTGTTAAATAAGCAAAAAGTGATTAAAAAGCATAGTAAACACTGCCCAGTAGATCTGTTAGCCGTAGGGTTAGTTAAAGGGTCACCTTTGCTTGCTGTGCAGGCAGTTGTCACCCAGGTGATTTTGGATGCTGTTAAATTCTATCTCTTTGCACCCTATCAGGTGACTGTATGAGTTTCACATTGTATTCCCGTATCAGAATCTCAATCAGCTGTATTGGCCAAGTATGTTCACGCATACAAGGAATTTGTCTCCGGTTTGTCATCGTAGAAAAAAGAAAAAAAAACAACTATCAAATACAGTATGTACAGAAATGACTTAAGCCAGAAGGACATTATACATAGCTGCATAGTGCAAGATGCTGGTTGCTATATATACAGACATGGACAAACTTGTTGGTAACCCTTCTACAAAAAACAAATTCACACAACTATCTCTGAAATAACTTGAAACTGAAAAGTTTAATGGCATCCCTTATTGTTTATTCCAGATTAAACACAAATCAGGCTGATTGATTGAATATCTCATATAATTAAACAAATGAAAATGGCACTGACAAAAATGATGGTACCCTTAATTTAATATTTTGTAGCACCACCTTTTGCAGCAATCACTGCCAGCCAGTGATCTCTGTACTTCACAGTGAGACGTCTGCATTTGCAAACAGGTAGTTTGGCCCAGTCTTCTGTCTCAGGTTTGAAGGGTGGCCCTGGGCAGTATGTTTTGCTCCAGGATGCCTTGAGACGTCACTGTGCCCTGCACAGATTCAAGGTTCCCTGTGCCAGATGCAGCAAAGCAGCCCCAAACAAACCCGAGCCTCTCCATGTCTCACAGTAGGTATGGGGTTCTTTTCTTTTAAAGCTTCATTTTTCCTTCTGTAAACATAGAGCCAAAAAAGGTCCATTTTTGTCTTATCAGTCCAAAGGATATTCTCACAGAAACTTTGGGGCTTGTCAAGATGCATTTAAACAAGTTCCACGCTGTCTTTTTATGTTTTTCTATCAATAGTGGAGCCGTCCTGGGTCTCCTACCATGGAGCCTATTATTGTTCAAAATGCGATGGATGGTGTGATCAGAAAGTGATGTACCTTGACCTCGGAGCGCAGCTTGAATGGTTTCCTTGGCTCTTTTCCTACCATCCACACTATCTATCTGATCAGCCTGGGGTTGCATTTCTTCTTGTGTCCACATCCTGGGAGATTGGCTACAGTTCCATGAACCTTATACCTTTTATAATATTGGCAACTGTGGTCACAGGATAATGAAGCTGCTTGGAGATGCTCTTATAGCCTTTACCTTTAACATTGTTATCTATAATAATCTTTCTGAGCTCATTAGACAGCTCTCTCCTATGCTTTCTCTGGTCCATGTTCAGTGTAGTGCACACAATGAAATCAAACAACTCAGTAGCACGTTCTTTCCTTTTAAAGAGCCTGAATGCCTGATGAAAAGCTTGAAGGCACTTGTAATACTAATTAAGGTTAAACACTCAGTTTGAAACATGACTATAATGCAAGGATAGTTTCTTTAGGGGTACCAACAAATCTGTCCATACTATTTTAGCATATCTTTGTAAAAAACAACAACAAATCATTTCTTTTCAATATTTTATTGGCTTACTCAAATGCTAAAGGCATGCAGGTATACATTAGACAATTGCTTGTAATTGAATAACTTTCCAGGAGAAATGAAGCACTGCATCAATGAGCTGTAAAGGCATCAACAAATTTGTCCACGTCTGTACATGAGGTACTGTGATGCTTGGTGATAGCAGATATTGCACAAGTATTGTCCTTGACACTTAAGTGTTCAACCGAGTAACGGCCTACGGACAGAAACCGTCCACGTGTCCGGCTGTTTTGGCGTACAGTGCTCTGTAGTACCTGCCAGGGCCGGGGAACGTGAACAGGCTGTGACCAGGGTGTGAGGGGGTCTGCAGTGATACTGCCTGCCCATTTCCTGATTCTGGACATAAATGAAGGGCAGGTCAGTACCAATGAATTTTCCTGCAGTCCTGACTGTCCGTTGTAGTCTCTTCCTGTCCTGTTTGGTGGCAGAACCAAAGCAGACAGTGATGGATGTGCAGAGAACTGACTGGATTATTGCGGAGTAGAACTGAATTAGCAGCTCCTGAGGCAGGTTGAACTTCCTCAGCTGGGGCAGGAGATACATCCTCTGCTGGGCCTTTTTGGCAGCTGTGTCTATGTTTGCCGTCCACTTTAGGTCCTGAAGATTTCCACAATAGACACAGTGTTGTTGGGTAGGGTGAGAGGGGGCAGTAGGGGGGGGCACCTCCAGAAGTCTACTGTCATCTCCACCGTTTTTAACGTGTTCATCTCCAAGTTGTTCTGACTGCACCAGAGGGCCATTTGTTCAGCCTCCTGTCTGTATGCAGAATGCAAGCCAATGACCGTCAAACTTCAGGAGCTTAACTGATGAGTCATTTGTGTAGAGAGAGAAGAGCAGAGGGGAGAAAACACACCTGGGGGTGGCGCCAGTGCTGATTTTTTCCCAGCCTCACCTGCTGCTTCCTGTCTGTCAGAAAGTGATAGATGGGGGCTGGTACAGTGAACTGGGTGAGTTTGGAGTGGAGGACTTCTGGGACGATGAGGTTAAATGCCAAGCAAATGTCCACAAACAGGACTCTAGCATATGTCCTTGGAGTCAAGGTGTTGCAGGATATAGTGCAGTTCCAAGTTGACTGCATCGTCTGCTGACCTATTTGCCCAGTATGCAAACTCCAGGAGATCTAGCAGGGAGCCTGTGATGTCCTTCGGGTAGGTCAACACCAGTCTCTCAAGGGATTTCATGACCACAGATGTCATGGCAACAGGCCTGTAGTTGTTTAACCCTGTGATAGAGGGTTTCTTTGGGACTGGGATGATTGTGGAGTGCTTGAAGCAGGAGGGGACGTCGCACAGCTCCAAGGATCTGTTGAAGATCTGTGTGAAAAAGTACCTGTGGAGGATGCGGGCAAGAAAGGAGATTGGCGAAGTGAAAGTATAATTTTTTTTTATTCCGTAGAAAAAAAATGAAATATTCATCTGCAGGCCAGATTTAATAATAATTTATACACATGTTGCGGGCCGGTTCTGTGACGCCTCTTATAGATGGTACACGAGCCGATGAAATCCCTCATTCTTCACTGCGGAAAATGGCTGCTCTTTCAATGCAATCCTTTCCAACATTTTCCAGCTGTGTCTATAGCTTTGAATACTGACAAGGTTTAAATACAGGCCAAGATTCACACATCGGTCCAATGCCAATATCTTGATTTTTTAACAAATATTGGTTTAACCATTATCCCGTGCATCTCTAGACTGTTTTTGTAACGTCACGTCATTGGCAACATTAGCTAAATCCCAGCATGTATGTAGCTTTGTTTGTGACTGTGCGTGTGGCCCATGATGGCCTGGCTTGTAGGGTGTCCCCTGCCTGGTGTCCTGTGATTACAGGGACAGGCTCTAGCCTTACCGCAGCCAGATAAGGGCTTGTGAAAAACAGATGGATAGATCAATTCCAGCAGTACCTGCAGTTTTCAAGAATGGGAGACCAAAGACTCCCAGCCCCAAAGTGAAGTGGGCCTCGGATCTGCTGGACGGAGGTGAGCAGGAAGTGCAAACATCCCACCTCTGACCTCTGTGTCCCCAGGAATGACTTCCTGAAGGAGATAAAGATCATGTCACGCCTCAACGACCCGAACATCATCCAGCTGCTGTGTGTGTGCGTGCGATCGGACCCACTCTGCATGGTCACCGAGTACATGGAGAACGGCGACCTCAACATGTTCCTGTCGCAGCGGGAGATCGAGAGCACGCTGACTAACGCCAACAACATCCCGTCTGTGAGGTGAGCTGGCATCGCTGCAGCCCTCTACCCAAAGTTCTCATTGGGCAGAACCCAGATTTCCCAATGTTGCTCATCCAATCATCAGCTTGTTGTCATTTGTCTGCCGGCCAGTTAGTCAATCAGTAGCCTCCTTTTTTCTAACTCCTTGTCTTTCCTGTGGTAGCTGAATGGCTCCCACCAGCTTTTTTCCCTTCATGTTCTTATTACTTCCTGTCTGTTTTTGGCTGTTAGCCCATTAGCCTTTGACACTGTTCATGTCTCAGCTTCTTGGGACTCTTTCATCTGACTGTCATTCTCTATTCATCTTGAGCTCATAGAAGCAAAACAAACACAGCAAAGTAGAAAAACAAACTTGTAAGCGAAAGAGAAAGTGGCAGGAAGTGATTGAGGAAGTGATTCCCAGCAAAAGGAAATCTTGGTTTTCTTGTGTTGTGTTGCGAGCTGCCCTTTGTGGCTCAGCTGCTGAGTCTCACTATGTCTGTCTGCCTGCCCCCACCCCAGCATGTCAGATCTGCTGCACATGTCAGTCCAGATCTCATCAGGAATGCGCTACCTGGCGTCGCTGAACTTCGTGCACCGGGACCTGGCTACACGCAACTGCCTGCTGGACCGGCGTCTCACCATCAAGATCGCCGACTTCGGCATGAGCCGCAATCTGTACAGCAGTGACTACTACCGCATCCAGGGCCGTGCCGTGCTGCCCATCCGCTGGATGGCCTGGGAGAGCATCCTGCTGGTGCGTGTGGGCATGTGTGTGTGTGTCTGTCTGTGTGTGTATGGGAGGGGTCCTGTTTTCTTGGGACAAAAGTTTGCAAAATAAAAATGCACAGCAGTCCCAGGACTGTGTGTGTGTATATGCACATACAGCACTGTGCAAAATTCTTAGGCAGCCAAAGGAAATGTTTATCTGGATAAGTAAGTGTATATTTGCTCAGAACAAAAACACTATTTATCATTAGAGCTAGATGCAATTAAGAGTAACACCATAAAAACTAACAAGAATATCTTCTGGTTTCCCAAAAGTCACTGGTATCTAGTGGGATGGCTAGAAGCACATTTGGACACTGGGTCAGTTCCCAAACCTCTCCTCAGGGGCACCTCAGACATTCCTTGTTTTTGTTAAGTTTCACCACCGGCTCACTTAATTCATTTAATTAGTCGACAAGGTATCGATTAGCAAAACATGGTATGCTTGTAGTCGAGTCAAAAAATACATGTATGCATTGGCAGGTTGCTGCAAATACTGGGGTCACTTTAGGAGAGGCTCTGAAATGGTTAATCTGACACACTTTGACAGACATAAAATCAAAGTTTTACACCAACCAAGATAATTTAAACATCATTTTCTTTGACTGCCTAAGATTTTTGCACAGTACTGTATGCTAACCAATATTACTTTTATGCTGATTTGTATAAGTGTTATGTTTGTCTTATTGAGTCTTTGGGAATAATTTAACAAAATAGATGAAATAGAGAAAGCAAGCAGTTGATTTTTTTTTTTGAAAATGCCATTAAATGGTGCTGCCCCCTACAGGGGAAGTTCACCACTGCAAGCGACGTGTGGGCTTTCGGTGTGACGCTCTGGGAGATCTTCACCCTGTGCAAGGAGCAGCCCTACAGTCTGTTGTCGGACGAGCAGGTCATTGAGAACACTGGAGAGTTCTTCAGGAACCAGGGGAGGCAGGTGTGTGACCTACTGGGCAAAAAATCATACATTCAGCTTTGGATCAGAACCATTTCAGTATTAATATTTATGTTAAAAAAGCACACTATCAGTATTCTCTGCTGGAGAGGCTTCCTGTCCAGGGTCACACCTGCATTGTGTCCTGTGCTGCTTGGGAATCCTGATGAATGGATGGATGGATTGGTGGATAGATAGATGGATGTTTTTTTACCTGAATTTGTTGTTTTAAGCTATCCTGCTGTTTTAGTTGGATAAGTTGATAATCCCACAACGTGATGGAGGTTGACACATGAATGAAGACCTGATCTCCTCCGCAGATCTTCCTGTCAGCTCCGCCCCTGTGCCCCCCCTTCCTGTTCGAGCTGATGATGCGTTGCTGGAGTCGCGACATCGGCGACCGGCCCGGCTTTGAGCACCTGCATCAGGCCCTGCGCCTGCACACCAGCCCGTGAAGCCGCACCCTGCACCCCCCCTTGAGAAGCCAAGTGATGCTTAAAGTGAGAGGAGAGGCCCCATGAGCTGTGACTGGACACAGAGACTTCCTGACAGAAGGAAATTTCACATCTACAGGTTCAAACTTATTCACAAATCTGTGGACACTAGAGGAAATCCTCTGTAGCTTTCTCTTAGTTTAATGTAAATCACTCCTGTCCGCCTCAAAGGTTTGTGTTTTTTGTTAGATTGGCACCCATAAGAGTGTTATCTCTTCTAGACTAAAGACTAGGTCTTAAAATCAGCGACTGGACGTCTGTGTTGTAGGTCCTGTTGTTGTGTGTTTTTTAAGCACTGCTGTTACGACTGTGTTCCTTATTAATCCCCACACTGGATTTACAGCTACTATAATGATTGTGTGTTTGTTTGTGGTTGTTTTTCCTTCTGGACATGAATGTTAAACAGGTCAGTGTGGATATGGCCAGATTTGACATTTTTTGAGGTCTGGCTGTAGCAGAACTACTGTCATAAATAGATACACGATCCTTTCAGGAGAGAGGGTTGAAGAGCCACAACAGACTGATAATGTCACGTCCTCCACCCCCCCGGCCCACACAACTCAGGCACAGACTGCAGTCAGCCTCAATACCCCCCCCCCCTCACTACCCATAAGTCTTAGCACAAAGCAGGATGCTGCTTCTCCATGTCTTACCATAGAATTAACCACATTTTCCCATGTCACACACATGCCTAGAGACGGGCTACTGCCAGCAGAATCTTCTCCACACTTGAACATGGAAGATGGCTGGAGCTGGAATGTGACACATCGTGTCCGGCTGACTGTCGTGGTCTGGGCCGCAGGACATGACCGCCCCTGTTTCCACGTGTGTCTGGCAGGCGGCGGGTGGCGCTTAGCGCTGTGGGTGGATGTGGCCCACGCTGTACCCTGCGGCCTACTGCCCCTCACATGGAGAGGACCGTTAATTCCATTGGCTGTAGGATCCAGTGATGCACAGTGGGTGGGCTCAGAATAGAACAAGTTCCCCTTTGTCAGCAAGACAACTCGAAATTTCCATTGCATCTGATTGTGTGTGTGGGATGTATGGTGTTTCACCTATAAGGGGGAATCCATTCCTAAAGAGTCCTTACATATGGCATATGCCCATAAAGGGGAAGCATTGTAGCAAATACAGAATTCAGAACATCTTCTCTTCAATTGTTGACCTGCCCCCTAGAACTTCCTGTATTTCACCAAGCTTTGGACAAAGCACCACTGAGACGGACACAATGATTGTGTGAACATTCAATGAATTATTGGGCTGTGGATTAGGTTATGTCACTTTTTTGTAACTGTTTGTACTATGTACATTGTAACCTTTGTTAGTTTTGTCTTGACTGTGTTTTTTTGTTACTGTTATAAGGTACATGTGGGAGAAGCACACAAGGCTGCTGGGAGATGTCAGGACAGGAGGCTGTCTGTAACTGTCTGGATGTTGCACGTGGCTGCTGCAGGCTTAGAGTGAGGGGCTGAATTTAAGGCCCTGTCGTGCAATACAAACTAAGCCTGGCAGGGATGGCGGGGGGACATCTCCCATAAGCCTTTGCTGAAGTGAGCCTGTGGTTTAACATTTGTCACTGAGTGTGTGTATCAGCATTTTTATAGAGTATCGTCAAATGCTTTTATATTTCTTTCTTATCAGTGCTAAGCAGGTGGTGATCTCTGCAGTGGGTTTGGGAATCGCGATAGGTTAATATAGATGCTTTCCTATCTCTCTCATTTCAGTTTTTACATGCATCTGATATGTACATAGTATAATCAGAGTAGATTTGTACAGTAATATATTGGGAGTTTAGGAGAACATTCTTTCATTATGACATTCTGTTCTGTGTTTTTTTCTTATAAGAAAACCAAACAATAAAAATCCAAACACTATCAGTAATGGTAGCACATGCATCCACTGTTTCACAGAGAGACCACATTAAATTTTTGCTAATGAAAAGCCTTGAGTGGCCAGGATTTGTCTGTTAGGTTGGATGCATGTGTAATTTCTGCAGATAGATGTAAAATGAGCCACAGAAGATTGTGATTAAGATCATTTGGGACCTCAGAGTCAACTTTTATGGTTTTTCATTCCATAAAATAACATTAAGTGTTAACACTGTAAATCATACATTTTTCTGTTATGAAAGCAATTTTGTCTTTTAGCGGTCAGGATCTTTCTAAACACTGAAAGGAAAATTATGTTTTGGTGAATAGCTAGAGGACTGAGAGCCTGCGCAGCAAGTCTGCAGAAGGGTTGATAAAAAGTCAAGTTTAAGTGAAACTGCTCTACATTTTTAAAGAATTTTAAAAAGAGCACCTCACATAAAAGACTAAACAACACCAATAATGTGTGGTATCTGCTGACAATTCAGTCTTGCCTGTACCCTCCATCTCCCATAAAGCCTTTATTTTGGAAGGGTCACTGTGATCCTCGAGCCTCTCACAGGAAACTGTGAGGGAGGGGGCACCGTGGGGGCCAGCAGGGGTCAGTGTAAGAAACCCTTCATTAGCCTGACTGGATGCTATAATGCTCACTTGTGACCACAGTATTGTTACACTGCGTACTTTTAGGGAATGAATGCGGTTTTTCCTTCATAAATTAAATTTTTTATTTTTATTTTACTGTTCAAATACTCTAAACAGTAGATTTTTGTACCCTACACACTTTGTTTTATCAGTCACAAATAAAAATTGTTTTAGATTAGACGGGTGTTCCTGGTGGCCTTCTAATTTAAACATCTGAACAAGTTTTACTCTCAGCTTCCGAATCGACACACTTTGTAAGAATGTTATTCATGTTATATTGGCAAAAATTACTACCTTTGTGTCTCCATAAAATGTGTTCTGAGTCGAGTACATGATGATGCATGAGAGGAGAGGAACTTTAGTGGGGTGGAAACCTGGAATTTATCAGGCAAGTAAAACGGTGTAGAACTAATGCAACAAAGGATGTGAAATTATAAACAAGGTGACAGGGCAGCGCCGTTCACATGTGTACAACACAATGAAATATTCCTGTTTTAGTGTTAATATGTTATTACATTATACACATATTAAAATAACAAATTAACAGTCCTTATACACTCACCTAAAGGATTATTAGGAACACCTGTTCAATTTCTCATTAATGCAATTATCTAATCAACCAATCGCATGGCAGTTGCTTCAATG